CTTAAGAGCAATTTTAACCTTTTCTAACTTCTATCTTTGTTCCGTCGAGTACCATGTAATTTACAACTTTTAATTTTCACCTCTAAAGCCACTTATGATTAATTACATCAATTATGTCACCCCCTATTACTCAGTAATAGACCACTATGCATTTTTCTAAGTATAAATACGACTGTGCAGCCTCTGAAGATGATTTCGTCGATAAAGAAAATTTTCTTCGCTGAATCTGTCTTTTATTCTCTTCATGACTCAATGGGTATTTTCCGTGATTTAAAGCAGAGCAAGAACCCTTTGACAGTGAAGGAACTTGATACGTTTCTTAAGTTTTCTGAAGAGCTGTATTGATAAGAAAGAATATCCCAAGCACTTCTGGAAATATCTACGTCGCAATCATATTCACCCAAACCATCTCTCTTTGAAACGTCATACACTGAACGTCATCGACGAAATAAAATCTCGCCTACCGGAGATAGAAAGAAACATTTCACTAAGAACACATGCTCTATGTGAGCTGACAGAAGACGAGCAGAGAAGTTTCATGGACTACATCGAGTCAGTTTCAAGAAGACGCTGTGAAGATGTAAACCTGAAACTCGCGAATAGCCTTAAAGCCGCTGACACTTACTCTTGTTTTCCTGCCAAACCAGAAAAATACGTCTTCAACTACTCTAGTATGTCATTGACTCCTGTCCAATTGCAAGCCTTGTCGTTGGGTCCAAAATTCTGCGATATTTCGACAAACTCGAGTGACTTGGATATCAAAGTCCAGTTTGAAGCACTGATCCAACAGACAAATGACCTTTCTGCAGCGTCCAACAAATCATATGAACAATTCAAGTCTACAGTATTAAATAGCTGCCATCAGTACATCAATACGAAACCAAAAGTCAGAAGATTGATTTCAGCCGAGCACAGAAAGCAATTGCGTGAGATTCTAAAGAACAAAGACTTGGTTGTGACACGCCCCGACAAAGGTTCTGGCATTGTCCTGATGGATCGCCAAGACTACATCGATAAAATGTTATCAGTCTTGTCAGATGAAAACAAATTTTCAAAAGAAAGTAGCCAGGAAGACCAAACGGAACAAATTGAATGCAAGATAACACAAATGCTGAAGAATATGAAGAACGAATCGATTATTAGCTCTGAATTATTCGAGCAAATACGACCCTCCGGTTCCGTGATTCCCCGTTTATATGGTCTGCCGAAAGTGCACAAAGAGAACCTACCACTACGCCCAATCTTGGACATGAAAAATTCCCCATATCATGCTACTGCCAAATGGCTCACAGAAATCCTCCTACCTATCAGAAATAACCTCTGCAAGCATAGTGTTTCTGATTCGTTTGAACTCGTCGACTCAATAAATGATGCTAATGTATCCGGGAAGAAAATGATATCTATGGATGTTACTTCGCTTTTCACCAACGTTCCCCTCACTGAAACTATCTGCTTTATGTGCAAATTCATTGAGGATAATAATGTGGACGTATGTGTTCCGATCCACTACTTAAAGGAACTACTTTTGAGGTGCACTCTAAATGTCCAATTCAAGTTCAACAACACGATTTATAGACAAAGAGATGGGGTAGCAATGGGGTCACCATTGGGTCCTTTACTTGCAGACTGCTTCTTGGCCAGTTTGGAGAATAGTATTTTACGGTCTACTATCGACAGTTTCCATCTGTACCTAAGATACATGGATGATACTTTCATCATATGTGACGACAATACTGACATCGAATTGGTAACTAAGGAGTTCAACAGCTGCCATCATGCCATCAAATTCACGTCGGAATCAGAGATTAACTCGGAATTCCACTTTTTGAGTGTTTTTCTAAAGAGGAGATCTGATGGCTCTCTTCAAAGATCGATCTACAGGAAACCAACATGGAATGGTCAGTACACAAATTTCCATAGCTGGGTCCCTTTAAGAAGAAAGAGAAATTTGATCCATTCCTTATCCTCAAGAATAAGGAGGATTTGTTCAAGTGATACAATCGATGGGGAATTGGAGCGACTTAGACAAGTTCTCATAGAGAATGGATATCCTCCAAGATTTATCGAGAAAAACATGAAGTTAAGAGAAAAGCCTGAAAGAATTCAGACTGTGACGAAGAAACTGCTCTTTATGAGTGTTGAATTTAAAGGTGATACTGCAGCCGAGATCTTGAAGAATCGCTTACGCAGATCACTGAGGAAAGCCTTTTTTATGGCTGAACTACGTATCAATTTCTACAGCCGACAAATGATCAACGGATGTGTCAAGGATAAACTGCCGCTTTGGGCCACCTCAATGTGTGTTTATAAATTCACATGCTCGTGTGGAGCAAGTTATATTGGCCGCACAAAGCGCACGCTTTCCAGACGCATCTCTGAACATTATCCGGCATGGTTAGCAAAGGGACAATACAAGACAATTACTAGCTCAATTCTCGAGCATTTGGTGAACTCAGGCCACATAGCTCCACCAGAGTCGTCTTTCAACATCATCTACAAAGTGAAGCCAAATTGTACAAATGGCGTCAGGTTCCGGCTTTTGTGTATGGCGGAGGCGCTGGCAATACATCAATACAACCCTGATCTCTGTATACAGAAAAAGTTTGTCCAGTCTCTTATTCTACCTTGGTCTTAACCTCTTCACTTATCGTTCCCTGTAAAATATTTTTGATTTTGTTCTTAATCTTTAATTTTACTTTTAGTTTGCTTTTGCTTTAATAATTAATTCACTATTATCAATTTCATATATTTTCACACCTTCTTCACACTTGTTAAATTGACACTCTAATAACTTTATTCTCACTTAAGAGCAATTTTAACCTTTTCTAACTTCTATCTTTGTTCCGTCGAGTACCATGTAATTTACAACTTTTAATTTTCACCTCTAAAGCCACTTATGATTAATTACATCAATTATGTCACCCCCTATTACTCAGTAATAGACCACTATGCATTTTTCTAAGTATAAATACGACTGTACAGCCTCTGAAGATGATTTCGTCGATAAAGAAAATTTTCTTCGCTGAATCTGTCTTTTATTCTCTTCATGACTCAATGGGTATTTTCCGTGATTGAAATGTGCGTACTAAAGTACTGGCTAAAGTAAATCTGTAAGCAATAAGGAAATCGGAAGATTTTTAAGTTATGTGAAATATTAACATTGAGATAAAACACTTCCTAACAGAGCTCTTTGGCGCTCATTACTATTCATTGTTTTGAGGTGTTTTTACTGTAATTTTTGCAAAATTACAATTTTCAAGCTAATTTACCCAAGGCTATGACGTACATTGGTGTGTGATGCCTAAAGCTCCTTGCAGTGCATTAGCAGCCGAACTCACGCATAGGTGTGAGAGCTTAGGCAAAGTTGTCATCTAAAGTGGTGACAACAGTGGTGCCTGTCAGGGATGCCCACTGTCCCCTTCTCTGTTTAATTTCAACCCTAACTGATGACTTCAGCGACTCAGAGATTGACTTGTTACCATCAGGGACTAATCTTGTTGACTTGGAATATGCAGATGATATAGTCCTGCTCCTAGGTGAAGACGCTGACAAAATGCAGTCTTCTGAACACCTAGAGCAGCAATCTTCGAATGTTTGGCATGCGATTCGCTCGCGCCAAATGTAAGATGATGATGCAGGATTGGGCTCAACCGACTACTAGCTTAAAGATGGGGAGTGAAGTGGTAGAGCGTGTTGATCACTTCACTTATTTGAGAGGCTATATCAGTCCTAATGAACAGTTTGATGACGAAATGTCAGCAAGGATACAGAAGGCTCGTTTAGCATACGCCATCTCTGGCATAGACGTGATATCTGGCTATCGATCAAAGGGCGTGTGCACTACTCAGCAGTTCATTACATCCTTCTTTATGGCTGTGAGACATGGCCATTGAAAGTGGAAGACATGAAAAGGCTAGCTGTCTTTGATCATAGGTGCCCGCGTTCTATCTCTCATTTTAGGTGGTATAATACGATGAGCAATATTGAGGTTAGGCATAAGTCGAGTGCTAGGTAAGGAGGGGAAATCAATTGACGAGTCGTGAGATTACACCGATTGAGGTGGTTAGGACATGTGTTACATATTCCTAGCCATCGCCTTCCTCGACAGACACTGCTAGTCAGCTGACATTCGGTCAGGTTGGAAAAGAGCTAATGGTGGTCAATTCGAAACATGGCTTCATCAGTCAATGAAATCCACAATAGTTTGTGTAAGTCACGACGGGAGGTGTAAACCTACCTGCTGGGGTCCTTTGGAGGGTTAAAACCAATGGCTGGAGACAACTGGTAACGTAGCTCAAAATTGTTGTCAACGGCACAGATGCATTCACTTTCTCTGTGATTTATAATACCCAACAAAATTCTATTATTCTTCCATACATCATTCTTTTTGAGTCACATTTCTGTTTATTATCCCAGTTTTGAATCTCTCTTCTCTTGCTTTGTGTGCTACAATGGAGTGCAACAACTGGAACTGCTACACTTCTGTCTAAAGTTCTAAGCTGAAACCAGTCAGTCATCTGCATAGCGATGAACAGCAATTGTCACCTGATAATGCTGATGATACTACCCCCCCTGTTGGCTAAACTGAAATACGCCGAACGAGATCCGAATCTCTGGCCCATTGGCTTAGCCACATGAGCTGAAGACGCTACTAGCGATGTATTTGGCTAGATACAACTTCCTAAGCGAAATGTCATACCTTCCCGTATCTTACGACACTTAAAAAGGACTAAATAATTAGAATTTAAGACTGAAAATAAGACTATCGTACGTTTCAAGAAGTAGCGACAGAAATACATTAGATAACCCAACTGTCACTTACACACTGCTTGCCTTTCAGAGAAGAATAATAATCAAAACAATCGTTGAAACTAAAACCGTAAATTATATCATGTGTCAACACGTTAAACTGTGATGCCGCCAACGACAGCAACCGAACAAAGACCACCCATTGAGTGTGCAAGACATATTTTTAAAACGTAAATAAAATGAATCGAAATAAGATGAAATAATTTTTAACATTTACTTTTGAATAAACAGGAGTAAATGAAGTCAAACCTAAACACAGAATCACTCTTGCGAAAACACACAGGCACATACAGAAATGCCATAAAGACTCAGGACTGATTAACTATTGTATACCTGTATGTTGAATATTAACTACCACTACTATTAATACTGTTTTGAAATAACGAGGATATGTCACATCAAACAAACAACTCTGAAGAAGTATAGTTCGAAATATGACGTTTTCTTTAAATTTGAGAATAATATGGTGATGTTTAGACAGAAAATAGGCTCTCAACAATGTATGAGAAATGAAGAAGTACGTAACATACGGATTCCACATATATTATTTATTATTATTGCTCCCTTGGGTTCCTAGTGGAACATAGCGCTTCAACTGCACGTCTCCACTTGCTTTCGTCCTCCTTCTGCTGTACTTTCCACCTGCATCCATGTTAGTCCATACTCTTTCAACTCCTCTTCACACGATCTCCTCCATGTCACCCTTGAACGTCCCACATATAAATGCCAATAAATTAACAATTTAAATGAGTAGTTTATGAAACTATTCTATAAACGGTAATACCATGTGCAAAATTGTATTCTTTTCTTATGTGAAAAAAAGAGAATGACCAGGATACCCCTTTAATAAATGAATGCGCAGTATCATGGAACAAAGTAGTAAACTAAGGAGGAAAAAACGTGAAACTTTACACTGTTTATGAATGTAATGAACGATAATATCACCACAGCCAGTCAAGTGGGGAAAAATGAATATTCCATATTAATATTAAATGACACCAAATAGGGAATACTCTAAAAGCTTGATGGTACTAAATGAAATGTGTAAATCATTCAGAGGAGCAAATGAAACCACGTGCAACAAATGTGAATGCTTCCCATAGTGTTTTAAGTGTTTTTATTAGAAAACAAATAGAGAATAAGGTGAAAAACAAACAAAAAAAATAATTGCTCGAAACTATTGAGTGGTTTCTTAATAAACTCTATATTATGTCATGGTGTGGTGAGAGCAGGCTGCTAGCCGATTGGTTGGCACTAATCTACGTTAATGTCTAGGTCACTAATATGGGCCGTGAGAAAATATGAACAAGGCCGTTTCAACAACCAATCACAGCAAACTTAAATGTGGACAAATATGATTCGCAGATAGATGGCTCTACTTTCCGAGAAATATCGAAAACAACCAATCATAAGACTGTGTTTGTCTGCTTAACTTCCGAGAAACAACCAATGAGAAGACTGCCTTTTTCTGCTTGCATAAGCCTTATTAATGCATATAAAATATATATAAATACGTGTTGATTTTCGTAATAAAACGATCTGTTGCCTGGCCCTTGTCTTCTGTTGTTACATTTGGTGTCGCTGCCTACCGACAAATGAAAAGCCTATACCCTGCAGTTTTTGATGGAGACATATGGATCTTCGGGCAGGACTTCAAGGCTTCTGCGCAGGTGAGTGGCGTTCAAGATCTGTCAGCGATGGAGCTGCTACTTGAGACGCTGCTGGGAGGTCGGGCGAAAGCACCATATGAAGGTGTGGGCCGAAGTATGGACGAATGTTCGACAGGGTCAGGCAAACAGTTTCCAAAGTGGGAAGGACCATATATGATCACTTCGAGATGGGGTTACGCAGACACAGTCGCAATGGCGAACAATGAGAGGCGCGGGAACGTCAGCGAGCTCCAGAAATGGATACAGCGAGACAAGCCAACGATGACGCCTGCACCAAGTAGATCAAGCCGACTTCAGTCGCACGTATTTGACGGGGGGACGAGTGTGGTGAGAGCAGGCTGCTAGCCGATTGGTTGGCACTAATCTACGTTAATGTCTAGGTCACTAATATGGGCCGTGAGAAAATATGAACAAGGCCGTTTCAACAACCAATCACAGCAAACTTAAATGTGGACAAATATGATTCGCAGATAGATGGCTCTACTTTCCGAGAAATATCGAAAACAACCAATCATAAGACTGTGTTTGTCTGCTTAACTTCCGAGAAACAACCAATGAGAAGACTGCCTTTTTCTGCTTGCATAAGCCTTATTAATGCATATAAAATATATATAAATACGTGTTGATTTTCGTAATAAAACGATCTGTTGCCTGGCCCTTGTCTTCTGTTGTTACAATGGAAATTATATTCAATAGTTTTCATGTAAATTACGAACATTGTGACAAATGCTGAGAATTCCATTCTGTATTATAAGTACTGTTTTTGGAATAAAGTAGATTATTATTATTATTATTATTATTATGCGAGAGGAAATAATCATCAGGCACGGTGAAATGAACAATGTGGTACAAAATCTTGATGCACAGGTAGATTATCACGTTGACCAGCTGCTACTATTGCTGATGAAGAGAGTGGAACCACAGCTGATGGGGTGGTGGTGGTGATGGTAGTGCTAATACTGTCCGACTGAACAGTATCATCAGATGCTGTATCGGGAAAAGATATATTTAAATCAGGCATTAAATCGTAGTCTGCCAGCGCAGTAGTCGCCACCATATTGGGACGCCTAATATTAGGTAGTCTGAATTCACCTGACTGATCATCAGTATCAAGAGGGCGTGACTCAGACCTGACACTATTCGAATTACAAACAATACGGTCCGGTGTTACAGTTCTACGAACAGGTGACTGCTGAGCATTTCTCGGTTGATATTCGTTAGCAACAGCTGTATCATTATCATCATGTTGGTTAATCCCAGACGATAAGGGCGTTGCAATATTCTCTTCATTATCATTAGGTTCTGATGCAACGTTTGCTGTTGGATTCACCAGTTCTTCAGAATGTCCTTCAGTATTATCTTCCAATGTTTCTGCTGGAGGATAAGGGCATTCTAAATGAACTAAATGAAATACCTATTTTCAAGAGAAATAAAAAAGATGAAGCGATACGATAACGTGATGAATACAAAACGGATAAAAAGCTTGCATTAGTGTAAAGCATTTACATTCTCAAGAATCATTTGCATCACTATAAATATTAATTAATTCCAGAGAAAATATCTATCGACGTCAGTTAAAGAATCACTGAAGACCAAGGAGCGCTGCCGACCTGTCCCATCTTTGTTTGCAACTCGTCATTAGTGCACATTCGTGACCCCCCAACGCAAGGATCGAACTCAGGATTTTCAAGGTACTAGGCCGGCAAATTGACCACTCAGTTGGTTGGACAGAATCCAACAATTCGTGAATTCTAACTTCTGTTAATTTGGCTGTCGTCAACCAATCCCATCAATCAGCGTCTGCTTCACTTTGGGACAGTTTAAATTCACTGGCTTCATCTTCTCATTAAAACGTCCGAACACGCATTCGATAACTACTAATTCGGTGGAGACTGATATTTACATTTTGAATTATGTGTACGGATTTTGATTGATTTCAATGTGGATTTCGTGACAAACCAAAGTCAACAAGAGAATCATTGAAAATCAAGGAGCACTGGACAGCTGCTTCATTCCAGCAGCTGAGCGACTGACTGACTGGCCTCGTAACCCGAATACCCTGAAATCCAGTAGCTGTCTAAAAAGTATTATTGAATTCATAACCAGTGATTCCTCGAAGAACTGACTGATATACGCTGGCATGTTTGGATAAGCACATGCACATACCTGGACGTGTACACGCATTACCAACCAGTTATCCATCTATATTTATTTGATACAACCTATCGATCGAAATTTCTGCATGCTATAGTATCGTCACTGGTACAGAAGAGAGAGATGCATGATAGAAGGAAAACCGGTAAGTAATAATTGTGTGAGATGTGTTGAATTTAGGCTAAAACTGGATTCTACCGCACTAACTGAACATAATTTCATGCAGTAAACGATAAGCTGCCGCTACTGCTCGAACATACAGTGTGTCCGAATCCATAACTTAGGAACTACAGTTGAAATACCAGCCTGATAGTTCAAGCACTAACTCGAGAAAAACTGTCAAATTCCAATTCATCCACTACACCTCAATGGAATAAAATTACATTTATAACAGGTCTGATCACAAGCTGACATAGGTCACAAGATCACTGGAAAGCCAGGGAGTACTGAGCAGCTGTCTTGTCCTAGTTCGGAACTCTTCAGAAGTATACATCCACAAGGGTTCGAGCCCAATACCTCCCGGTTACAAGGCAAGCTCGTGGACTATTCAGCCACTAGGTCCCGGTCCAAATTCTGTCAACTCGTGATGTATATGTAGGGCAGTCGCTAACCAATGATATAGGTGAGTAACTGACCTGTTGGACCCCGCTGGTTACGACTTCCCACTAAAACTCCAAGCAACTTGCTGTATAGAGCTAGTCGCAACGGACTAATTATCCATCAAGTGTTGATTTACATGGATTTACATTTGAAACAAATTAATTAAATTAGTAAATTTAATATGAAATTCAACTAATATACATATTTCGATAAAAAAACAAAACAACTTTACAGTGACATAATACAACAAGAAATTATCAATACCGAAAAGAAACTCACATCATTCGCTGTATTATTTGAACCAACAACGCGAATAAACGTAACCAATTGTAAAGGAAATCTGATTACTTGCCAAGAACGACACTGTTCACCAGATGCATCACGCACAAGTTTCCAATCTGAACGATCGTTTGATACATACACTGAATAAGAATAAGTACGCGGGTCCAAATCCCATAATAAAAATCTTTACATTAAAGAAAAGAAAACAGAGGAAGATAGACAGAAGTATATGGAAACATAAGAATATATCATAGATTTCTGGGTTTCACGTACGAGTCCCACTGCAGCTATTTCAGCCAGTTGATGTTGGATGAAATGTATATTTGTCAGTGGCACACCGTAGTAGTGAAGTAGTTGCCGAATCACCCCTCGATCGACGTTGTCGAAGGCCTTTTCAACAACAGACAACAATCAGCATAAATGAGAGGAACCTGAAGTAAACAACCTCCTTTACCTACCTACCTCGGGAGCATCATTTCAACTACAGGAGGAACTGACGAGGATATCAAAGCCAGAATCTGAAAAGCAAGACAAGCTTTCATTACTCTTAAGTCTGTGTGGAAGTCAACAGCACTGAGCATCAAAAATAAGATCCGGATTTTCAACTCCAATAAAAAGTCAGTGCTATTTACTATACGGATCAGAGACTTAGCCAGAGCGTCATAAAGAGCATCTCAAACAAACTTCAGACCTTCATTAACAGCTGTCTTCGCTCAAGATCAGATGGCCAGTCAGAAAAGATCAGCAACAGGGATCTCTGGCAATGAGCGAACCAACCCAGCAGGAACCGATTGTGAAACAAATAAACAGGAAGAAATGTAGATGGATTGGCTGGCCATACTCTGAGGAAACCAACAAGTGACATCACTAGACAAGCCATTGGTCGAGTGGAACCCTAAAGGGAAGCAGCGAGTTGGTCGTCAGTGCAAGGGTGACTTGGAGGAGGTCATGTGAAGAGGAGATGAAAGCATGTGGGCAGACTTGAAGCGGGGCGAAATAGTTGGCAGAAAACAGAAGGCAATGGAGATGCGCAGCTGAAGCCCTATGTTCCTCTAGGAATTAAAGGATATAATAATAATAATAATAATAATAATAATAATAATACAGACTCCCGTTAGGAAGTTTAACCTAAACGAAAAGTCAGTCATCACTTAGTTTTTTTTTCGATTTTTAGATCACAATAGGCTTGAGATCAATTAAGAAATTGTAAATTTTCACAATAATCCAACCACTTCGTAAACTAAAAAAAACAAACAACGATAAGCAAAAAATAAAGAATATTTGCAAACCAAATGTGATAGATAATACAATGCATTCGCAAGTAATAGAGCTCACCTCATTGAACGCAATAAGAATGGTTGAGCCAACTGGACTACAATAGCACCATTACCTAATTGATGGCATGTATAACCTGAATTCCAATCATACATTCGAACATTGCCGTCAATCAGCGCATTCCTATTTCGACTAACACCTTCTAGAACTGTAGCTCCAAGATCAACATTTGCAACATTATAAGTTGGAACCTGAGAGTATAATAAAAATAATACAAATAATAACAGTACTATCAGGTATCCGTGGCATAGATTACAGCAGAAAAGAGAAAGTGAGTATATCAAAATTACTCTTCTCAGTTGAAAGACACTAAATACTAAAAATAAAACACCCTCTGTTAAGGTAGGTTTCAAACTAGTGTCACATTGGTTACAAGTTCAGAAATCAAAAGAATAAACTAAATAAAGCATAAATTACCTAAAACTTTTCACAAAATGAAATCTTTTGCTTACCATAAAGCCATCTACTTGCTGAAATATATTCTCGCTGTAAAGACATCGAAATGTGATTATATGAAAGGTACGATTGAATGTATTCCTTGTCCCAGTGATACGAATATAATGAATAACACGTGATGGGAAGTGTAATGTTTGCCATGAACGGCACATGTAATTACGATAATCAACAATATGATGCCAAGTGGACTGGTCCAATGAAACATCGATAGAATAAGAATATGAGCTATGTATTGTCAAGATATATATCAAGGAAATGTAATACAAAGAAAAAGAAAAGAATCACAAATAAGCAATCAATTGAGAAAAGTAACAAAATAAGTTCAGAAAAGTTGGTTTCAAGTTAAAACAGATATACAAGGTATCTCAAATGATACAGACAACTCATAACTCAGGTGGATGATTTTAGCATTGTGCGGTCTTTGAATTGGATAGTTTAACAGTGACGCTTTCAGTGTCCGTCTAGGTAACATTCTCAGTGTTAATTTCACCTCGAAGTTATTCCATTAATGAATACTCGTCAAATACGCAAGTGGTCTGGGGTTCGGTCCCCGCAGGACGCACTCTTAAACCCCGCTTAGCCAGTAATATGTCAGTAAAAGGGGAAGGTTGGGCGTGAGGCCAGCGACCCCACACCATAAAAAAAAATAAAAACATTGCTACTGGGAGTTCAAAGCTTAAAGGTTGAAGCCTTATGTCCTACACAAAGGAACAAAGTAAAAATGTTAATTATTTTTAAACTGCCCAACTAACTGTTCTGAGTCACTGAAAGAGTTGCCTTTAAGATGTACCATGAGTGTACACTTCACGCACACATTCAACAACCTTTACTACAGACAAATTGACAGCATTACCATGGGTTCTCCATTGGGGCCAATTCTGGCAGATTTCTTTCTTGCTAAGGTTGAAACTGGTCTACTGAAATACGTAATAGATAAAACTGATTCTTATTTTCGCTATGTTGATGATACGTTTATTATTCTTGATGTGAATGTTGACAAGAATGAAATCTTGATAAATTTTATTGATGCACATCCATCGCTCATCTTCACTTGTGAAGAAGAACATGATGGTAGACTACTTTTCTTGAAGTCCAATTGAGCAGAAGAGAGGATGTTTCACTCAAGAGAGATGTCTGTAGAAAACCCACCTCTGTAGGGCAATATACAAGTTTCTTCAGTTTTGTACCAAGCCGATGCAAAATAAATTTTGTCAGATATCTCACGAATAGAGCAAGACGTATCTGTACAGATGACTCCCTAGAAAATGAGTTAGGATACATCCAAAATACGCTGGTCCAAATAGGTTATCCTAGTGAATTTGTAAAGAGACATATGGACACCAGGTACAATAAAGGGAAACTGACAATAGTTGAAAAGAAACAACTGTTCATGAAATTGCAACTTAGTGGGAACGTGGCTAGCGAAGTCTTACATCTGAGATTATCGAGAGCGATAAAATAATAATAATAATAATAATAATCACTTTATTCCACAACAATAACAATTTACAGCATGGAATTTTCAGCGTTTCTTTTACATATTGCAATGGTTTAGCTCTGTTTATAATTATATAAATATATAAAATGTTAAAATATTGATAGTTAATAGGAAAAAATAATAAAAAAATAAATAAAAATAAAAAACCCAACAAAATCATACCATTTCTAGGTCATAGTGAATAATAAATAAATAATATAACAAATAACACTTGCATTAATATGCATCATTACATTTTATAGTTTAGTTACTGATTCAAAAGTTGTAAAAGTTCTTTTCTGATATTTGTCTCTTCACACAATACTCGTGCCAAATATGGAACGGTCGAATTTTTATATTTTGTAGTACGAGCATAAATGTTTATAAAATTTCTTCTGGTCTTACCCGAAGAGATACAAGGAAACAATTGTGAATAAAGAGGATGTTCACTATCAGATAAGATAACTTTAGCTAAGTGTTTACAAGAATTCATATGCCTATTGACAACAGTGTCATTTAGTTCAGTCAAAGGGATAGCACTGACCCTACTTACAGCCCTCAATGTTCTTCGTAGTATTATATGATCTTTCTTGAGTAGCCCAGGGAAGAATAATGGAGAACAATAAAGAATGATGGGCAAAACACATGAATTAATAAATTGTATGATAAGAGATTGAGTTATACCTGAGTGTCTCAACTTCTTTATGTAATAAGTCAGACGGAAAACTTTCTTAGAAACTATAAGAATATGAGACGACCAGCAAAGATTTGACGAGAAACTAATGCCAAGATAAGAAACACTTGACTTACTCTCAATCATGGTACCATCAATATTACAACAATCATGAGATTGAATCAATCCATGCATGTCTTTTTCACTTCTCAAGCTGAAATCAACAGTGTTACATTTAGTTGGATTTAGTTTAAGACCATTTGAGCCAGACCAATCCTTAACTTCAGCTAGGAAGCCATTCATATAGGAACAATCCGATGTGGAAACTACAGGGACAGAAACGGTCAGGTCATCAGCATACTTAATGAAGTTAACTTTGGGTGAGTTCGGAAGGTCATGCAGAAAGAAAGAGAAAAGAAATGGAGAAAGTACTGCACCTTGAGGCACACCACTTTCAGTTAGCTGGGAAGTGGAGCGCTTTCCAGCCAAAACAGTATGCTGTTTCCTATCCTTAAAATAAGAAGACAGCCATCTAGTTGCCCAGGACTCTGTTTGTGCTGAAATCATCTTTCCTAATAAAAGTGTCCTAGGAACAGAGTCGAAAGCTGCAGTATAGTCTAAGAAAGCTGTTCGAACGAACTTAGCGCCCTTATCAAGGCAGGAAACAATATTGTGGTGTAGTACAATGGCTGCATCTAATGTACTTCTTCCACACTTATAAGCAAACTGCTTAGGGTCATTAAAAGCTTTTAAAGAAGGTTTAAGAATATTCAAAAGAAGTTTCTCCATAGTTTTCAAAAAAGGAGATGTTATAGCGACTGGTCTAAATTTTATACCTGCTCCAGAAGATGATTTCTGTACAGGTACAACCTTGATTTCTTTCCAGTCAGCAGGTACCGTTTCCCTCTTAAATGATGCGTTAAAGATTTGAGTAAGAGGATGACACAAGATGTCTGCACACTTTTGGAGAAGAATGCTTGGTACACCATCTGGACCAAGGCTGTGTGTTGGATTTAATGACTTCAAACATAATAGTACATCCTTTTCTTCAAAACCCTGAAAATGACCATTTTCTTGACTAGGTACATCAGGTACAACCATATTAATTTGTTTCTTGATAAATGATTTGTTTAAAGCATTTACATCAGAATAAGCATCAACGGACATTTGTTTTTTACTTGTTAGTTTATTGAAAAGTTTCCAAATGTTTGAAGGATTTTTACATGATAAAAATTTTTCATTATATAGTCTGTTCAACCTTTCTATTTCAATTTTTATAAGGGTGTTTATTTTACGGACACCAGTATTATCACAATTCTTATACAACTTCTCTTTTTGTCTTCTAAGTTTTTTCAGTTGCACAGAAGAGATTCTGTCAAATCTCGAAAACAGTGTTTCATAAGGACAGCAAATATCCAAACAAAACTTCAGATAATCGGTTATATTAGAGACAGTAGCATCCAACTTATCGTCAGTAAACAGTTCCCAGTTGGTATCATGCAACATGCTTCTTAATGCTAGAATGTTGTCATGGGAATATGAACGTTCATGTATCTTCTTTGTTAAATGACTAAACAATTTTCGTTGTGACTTGCCGTACACTTTCGGTAAAATACGAATAATGCAGTGGTCAGAATTTAGCAAAGGAGCTCTCCTTCGGGTTTCATATACATCACGGTCATTTATGAAAACCAGGTCTAGTGATTTGTCCAGACGTGTATTAAACTTGACTAGATTCTCATGACCAAGCGAAGTAAGAAAGCTGTGATCACATAAATTAAAATCACCACAGACTATAGACAACGAGTTTCCGAATGCAGGAGCAGCGAATTCAGTAAACTCATCTGCAAACATAACTATATTAGAAAGGCTACAATCGGGTGTTATGTAAATATTTGTTATGTATATATAAGAATATTTACTTAAGTGTTTTGGGCGACACCTGACGGTTATGCAATCTATATTGTCATTAGAATAATTGAAGCAAACGTGATTTGATGTAGACCAATTTGTGTTTATATATGTGGCTACCCCTCCTCCATATTTTTTCTTGGAACTATTTCTATCTTGGCGAAAAACTTTATATCCATTTATTGAAATTAGATTATCATCATAATGCTGGTGCAGCCAAGTCTCTTGTATTGCTAAAACGCCAGCATTTCGATAAACATTGGAATACATTAGGGATTGAAGGTAATCCATTTTGTTGGACAGGGATCTACAATTAGTGCTAACGAGTTCAGGAACAGTCATTTGATTAATTTGTGTACGTTTCAGTGCACGCTGCCAGCCACAGTGATGCTTTTTTCTCAATTTTTGTGGATGACACAACGCGGTAGGTTGTAATGATTTTAAAAATGCGCGATTATATATAATACGATTAGGACACATTATTGATAAATTAAAACAAAATTAAAAGAGCAAACCAAAGCAATTTTGCAAAATGTTGTAAGGTGGAATTTTTGGTAGCCCTATGTTCAAGCAGGCCGCCGTCTAAAACGCACTTATACCGCCGCCACCCTTTGTTTATCATTCTCCAGCCGGCCAATTATGGTTGCTCAAGAGAAAGACAAGCCACCTAGCTGTGCCACTTCTGTGTATCTACAAATCCGGTTCCTCCTGCAGAGAAAGCAATATAGGGCGAACAAATACACAGCTTAGCAAACGCATTAATGAGCATCTTACTTCATGGTTCGGAAAAGGTCAAATAAAATCTATAAGAAGTTCTATTTTGCCTCATTTGATTGATAGCGGTCACCAAGTGGACAAAACTAGTGCCTTCAAAGTTATCTATCGCATTCCATCGAGCCTTTCGAACGGAATTCGAATCCGCCTTTTACACAGCCGAAGCCACGGGAATTAATTCGAGAGAACAACCCTAGTATTTGCACACAGAAGAAATTTGTTCTACCTTTGTCTCTCCCTTGGCCTAGGTGAATTCTATTCAAAACCCTCCCACCCTTTCTTATCATCCCTCTCCTTCGTACTTTTATGATATTTATTTAAACTCTGATTATCGTTCCATTTGATTTGACCTAATTTTTTTTGTTTACTAATGTATCATTGATTAAGACTGTTGATATTCTTTGTGACTATATATCTTCTAGTTGTTTTTCATTCCCTTTCCCTTGAACTTATTTGAAAGATTTATTATTATTATGCACTGACAACGTCCATTTCACGTTTGAAGGCGAACATTTTCGACAAGTGGATGGCGTTGCTATGGGGAGTCCACTAGGACCTTTGTTAGCGGTCGTGTACATGTCTTATGTTGAAAACTTATCCCTTGATTTAATTTCAAAATTGCCCTTCTGTAGGAGATATGTAGATGATATCATTTTGATATGTGACGATCATGAAGATGCGAGTCGCCTATTAGACAGACTTAACTCTGTACAAAATCATATTAGTCTTACATGTGAGGAAGAAAGTCGCAACCAGCTAGCATTTTTAGACATACTTCTGAGTCGAAGAGATGATGGCTCAATACGACGGTCTATCTACAGAAAGCCCACTTGGACAGGGCAATACCTTAATTTTCACAGCTTCTGTCCATTACAGTATAAGAGGGGCTTGGTGAAGTGTCTATTCAAGAGGATTCAGCGTGTTTGCACGGCTGATGTTATGGACAGAGAAAACGAAATATTAATGGATACTCTTGTTGAAAACGGATATCCTTTGAAATTTCTAAACAGGTGTAGAAGTCAACTAGCCTCTAAACCTATAATCCATACCGTCCCTAAGAAAAAGGTTTTTATCAAATTACCATATAACGGGGAAATAAACAGTAGGATTGTGAGACAAAGGTTGAATTCAATCATCCGTAAAACCTACTATGCAGCCCAGCTTGTAATTGTGGAAAAAGCTAAAAATATGCTTCACTGTTAACCCCAAAAGTGCACAAGTGATTATATCACATCCCATACAATTTACCAATTTTCGTGTGTGTGTGGACATACATACATAGGGAGGAGTAATCGCGCTTTGCACGTGAGGGTGGGAGAGCATATCCCAAAATGATTAGAAAAACAGATGAATTATGACAAGCTAATAGATGCAGGTGTCAGACTACCAAATTCGTCTATAGCTAAACATCTAATCGAGATGAACCATAAGATTGATGTTAACTCAGCCTTTAAGGTCATCTATAAAAACGGTCAAGGGCGTTTACTGAAATACGCTGAGGCTATAGCTATTCATAGACTTAAGCCCCCCTGTGTATTCAAAAACAGTTTGTCATTACTCTTAACCTACCTTGGTAATCCTTATTTGATTGGATTACCAAACGTTTGTGTTAATTATTCTTAATTCCGTTTTCTCTCACTTGGTTTAATTTAACCTTTCTATATATATTGACTTGACAAGTAAATGTGAGATCAGATTGTTCGAAATGTATAGCGCTAATACATCACATTTTTCAGATAGTCTCCGTCTTCTAATAACGCTATCAAAATTTATAAAAGGGACTAATTGTTTTAAATTGACCTAATTTATATATTAATTGAATTGTCTACATATATGCATATACTAACTTTGTTATTCTTATCACCTATATAAGCCATATTAACAATATTTTGTTATTATTATAATAATCATCGTTATTAACTTCGTTCAAAACATTTACCACATTATTATTACTATTATTATTTGATCCACAAAATCACCGTCATTGGTTAAAATCTTATATATTTATAAGTCAATGTAAATTAGAGTAAAGCCTGAAGAAGATCCAATTGAAAACACTATTGTCCGCTTATATGTCTTGTTCACTGAATCTTACCCAATAACAGCCATCACTATCTAATACTCCATAGTGGTTTTTTCTCAGCAAACTTAGAAACTTCTTAACTATTTAAAAACAAAGTGTTGATGACATCTCTTCTACCTCTTTATCTCCCTTAAGCCTCTTTATCAGTATGCGCACACAATCCCTTTTCATATAACAATCATTATTATACAGAATGGAGTAAAAATTCGACAATCTTGAAATAGTGTCAAACAGTAATTTGCGAACATCATCTTTAAAATTTTATCCATTTTATTTTTGACAAAATATGTTGTAAAATATGTTTGTTTTTCTTAAAAAAAAAAGATAGTTTACCGTAAATCTTGATCCCATAACTGCATACGTATAGTATTCACAATACTAGGTTTTCCTAGCTGAATAACAATACTAGCCTTAGGATCATCTAAAGAATGACGGACTACGTCATACTCCGAATGAGGTGGCGGTGGTTTATTTTGATTAACACGTCTTCTAGACGATGGTTGGATCCAACGGGATGCTTTATTAGTGAGTGCATTACTGGTACTGCCGGATGCCGCTGCTGCCGCCGCCGCAGTATTCACGATACCAGTCCCATACAGGGTTAAATTACGAATATTATAATGGATTTGTTGAGTGTTGGACAATCTTTGATTATGTGTATGGCGCGAAGAATCACTAGGATTGCTGCTGACAGTCGGAGCATGATTCGTTCCCCAAACTACGCCTTCTGACAAAGAACTTCGAGACAAATGAGTAGAATCAATATGCCGATTGAATGTTCGACCTGCAATACAATCAACAATAAGCACAGTTACAACTATGAATTTAATATACTTATACGCATGGGAAATTATTATCTGTTACCATTTGCTAAAAAAGAATGGCTTTAGGACTAGGTTTAACTGGAGAATCAATACAGGCAACTAATAATTATCATGAATCTGTTTTGTACTCTTTAGGAGACTGTTCACCAACGCATGACATTGAAGAGTGGTAATTTACTAACAACAGAAAAAATCCTCTTAGTAAATACTTCAGACAAGAAACGAATATGAGGAAATTATAAACTAAAACTGCATTTAACTGATGAAATGATGTTAGGGATCACTGCTGACTTATTTCACTCAGATTTCAAGTGACATACAACACTAGGTGGTGTCCAGCAACTTTCTTATATGAGACAACAATTAGTCCAACGCATTAGCTTTATACAAGAGAGAAACAATCTAAAGCCCCCGCAGTATAACCATGTATAGAAGAGAAACAGAATATTCTCTCTGAGATTCTTAACAAGATTGAGGTCAGTATGTCGTTTCGAGCAGCAATCTCAACCAGGGAGAAAATCTGTGGACTGTGATCCTATACACCTAATTAGATAATATAATCTCATGCAACAAATATTTTAGTACAGTTGTGAATTCAGTTAAAAGCAGGTAAAGTAGCCAATACGAATTAGTTAGTATTTTAGAAATTTAGCTAACTATAAAAATAGTAGATATTTTGATTTGACACTAGTAACTAGTATGATGCATCTAGTCCTCTGATTGGTGTAGATATTACTAAGATAAGTGGTCTGGGTAAAACTATAACCGTTTATTACAACAACACTAAACATTGTGTTCCCATCGAATCAACTGTAAATGCATTTCAAGTTCAAGTTGATTTGTGATTCAGAAATCGTTTTGCGTTTACATACAGTTGGTAATTGGTCTACTTCCATTGGATGGTAGTAAATAATACTACCACCAATTGGTTGTCCAAAACGCTATAGATGGATAGGGTTTAGGAACCATTGATTCAATAGTTTGAAGTTGAACGTATAAACCAATGAACCACAGTTTCGCAGAAGTACACTTGACACGAATAGTTTAACACAAACCCCCTAAAGTGGTGGAATACTCACCAGCTATGTGGGAGGTGAGGGTTCTATTTCCGGCCAACGCACTTTTAAACCTCGCCAAGTTTACTAACCGCTCGTAAACCTTGGAAAGTGGCGGGGGGTGGAGTCAAGTAAGGAATGAGCAACCCTACGACGTAAAGACAACACCACCGCTACTGAAACTTTGAAACTTGAAATCCTATGTCCCCGTCGGAAAGTAGGGAATGAAAATAACGATAATAACAATAATAATAATAGAGCAATAAAGAGTTCTGGTACAGTAGAAATATGAGCAATGAATTGAACACTATCACTGCCTGCAACATGAAATCAACAAACTAACGAACTTTTGTTTTAAAAGTAAAAAATCACAAACAATTATGAGGTGAACTGAACTACTTTTATTTCGTGGGTTCAAAATCTTTTACACAGAATGTCCAATACAGAAAATGTTATTGATGCAGGTTGTGGCAGATTAAAGTGTGAGCAAACTGAGTTCTATTCAGTAGCAAATCTACTTAATGGTATAGTATACATTATACAGTTCTAGATTGAAGCGTTCAACTCCACCCAAAAAGTATGGTGGGGGGGTGGGTGTTATATAGATGACACATTTACTGTACCCAGATCACAGGATATGGATAGATTTTTCGAACACATTAACTCAAAGGTGGAGGCGATTCAGTTCACTTATGAATCGGAAAGTCAGAAAGGAGGGATTTCAATGTTAGATTGTAGCGTAAAAAGGAAAGAAGATGGGAAGTTAAACTCTAGCGTTTACGGGAAACACACACATTCAAACCGATATTTGGATTTCCGATCATTCTATCCAATGTCAGTAAAAAAAATGTTTACATGATAGGGCAAAGAAACTAAGTAGTACTAAGAAAAATCTAAGACAGGAAGTATGGCATTTGGGAGAAGCTTTGAAACTTAATAATTACCCTGATAAATTAATCAGAAAGTATGTAGGGAAACGTAAAAATAAAATAAATAATGACAGTAATGATAGTGATAATAACAATATTGATGACGATATGCATGTCAAATATGCGCAAGACAACATCAACAATAAGGAATCTAAATCATCAACGGTAATTCCATACAAGGAAGGAACCTTGGAAACCTTACGCAGAATTCTTAACAAGGCAGGAATAAAAGTGGTTGGCATTCAAATTCACAATCTCAATTAGAAACAAGCTTTGTCGGCTAAAGGATCAATCCTGTGGAGCCTTTAAAACGAAACAATTTAGTTTATCTAATACCCTGCTGTAATGATTGTCAGTCAAAGTAGTGGGCAAAGTAGTAGAACAAGGGCAGTCAGTCAGACTAGCCGAGCATGAAAACCTAGCGAAATCTAGATTAGTTGACCCGAACAAGATAAGACATCTGGGGAATAATTCAGCTACACCACTCACTGCATGCAATTACACGCAACCATACAATAGGATGGGATAAGATGACAGTTTTGAAATCTAATATCACAGGGTGGAGGGAGAGATTGATAACAGAAGCTTTATTCATCTAATCAACCGCAAATACGTGTAATGGGGATGATTTAACACCTGTCCCAGATATCTGGAAAATTCTACTACCCCTACGACAAATAGGAGAGAACAAAGAAGACTATAAAACTCAGGTTTCGAAGTCGCATGATTATAACTGATATGATTATTAACAATAAATTGTGTTTGAAACGCCATTCAGTAAATAATACTGTTTCACTGAGTGATATATCTAATGTCCAAGCCCTATTTTTGTCCAGCAGATTTGGGCTAGCAGGCGATATCAACACTAACCTACACACAGTAGATGTGACTCATTGCAAAATGCATTATAACATTGAATAGCGTGCGTAACGAAAACCAAACGAGCAATTTCAGTTTTACATTTTACTTAATACCATTAGAGATAATGATAGCTCGCATTAACTGTCTATTATGAGCATAAGTGAAACAGATTTTACTAAGCTAATTACGACTGACTAGTTATTATAAAATTACCTGCAACATCAGACATATCGATAGTTGGTATGTGAATATTACCATCATCATTGTTTCTTCGCTGTTGTTGTTGTTGACATCTGCGGTATGTTTCACCATGTCCTCCTCCTCCACCGATGTCGCCTGCTTCATCTTCATCGTCAATATCATCCACAGCATCGTCGTCTTCTTCATTTCTATCTGAATAGTCTGAATCATGACAGTTCAGTTCATTTACACTCAGAGATTCAATATTTAATTTAGCATCATTGGATTCCTCTAAGTCAAGTGGATTTTCAACAAAAAAGTGTGGATAAGTTCCATGTTCGCCAGAGATCAGGGTACATCCGAAACGAGGTGATGCCAAATTCACACCTGGTACTATAGATATTTTTACAAAACAAAAACAAAACAATTGATAACTAAAAAATAATCCTATAAAAATCAAATTTCTAATAATAAATATATAATAATATGCTTGATAAATTATAACTTCTATCAGTTTGTGATTTTAGCGCGACAACCAGAAAATGTCATCGGCAAGTATTTGTCCTGAATCTAGGCCACATAATTACATGATGAATATCTTCCAAGAAATCACATTGACAAACTGTTTTTGGAACAATAATTAAAAAAACTGGAATGAATTTCTAGCTTAGAACTTCGTACAAAAGTGCAGCTTCTTGGGTTATCACAATCTAGGTAGCCCGCAAAAGCAGGTATTATTTTATTTTATTTATTTAAACACAAAAATTCGGTACAATATGGCACAAAGAAGATACGCCACCCAATAATAATAATAAAACAACATAGATTAAAAGTAAAAATATAGGTGGAGAACGGATAAAATAGTTTATCTGGAAGGAAAACAGTCATATCCAACAAGTTCAAGCAGCATTAATCAATTATTATCGGAATAGGGAGGAAGAAAGAAATTGCAGAACGCCATTGGTCGCAATTTTTGACCATATCCGCTAACATTTCGAGATATCTATTGGACTCCAATCAGGGAGCCATGATGCACCAATTGATGCTAGCCTAACACAAAAATCCCCGATCTTTGATAGCCAGGCTAACATCGTGATGGCGCCAGAGGTGGCTGAAGTTGACGTATGACACTCTACCTTTCACGATACAGTTGGAAATCTCATCCGTCAGCCCTCCGTCAAATTCAAAAAAACTTGTATGAACCGTAATGTGCGAGAGAGAAAAATAATTACATCAAGAAACGTGAGGATTTATAGTCTGGGAGATTACAAACAGCGAATGCATCTACACTAATGAGAATGATTTTGAAGCATACTTACTTACTTTACTTTACTTCGGCTATCTCCTACGGGAGGATGAGCCGGCTTCATGAACCATGAAGTTTCATGGGAATTGGGTACGAGTGATGTCCCCAGCATCGCTCGGCCTTTTGTTTGAGAGTGCAGCTCTAGCCTTTACACAACCAAGTGTGACCTACAAGGCAGTAGGAGTGGAGTAGGGAGTCCACTATCCATTGGCAGCCGGTGACCGGAGTCCGGTTTATTCGCCTTTTTGAATGGGGCCAGTCATCCAGGGCATGCAATAAGCCCTTTGTCCATACGTCTGCCGGTGAGCTTCATACGCCAGTCGTTGGAGGTTTGGAATCAGGGTTTAGCCATCTCCCCTAGATTTTGAAGCATACCATCAACAGTCTCCAACCTTTGGTTCTTGGCGTCTCGAGGACCTCAATTAAGCGGTCATAACCTCCCCACATGACAGCTAAAGATATTATAGATTGACACCAGGTTTTGATTTGATCACCCCTAACAATCTTTTAACGTAATCCTATGCTTGAAGGAAGGACGTGGCTTCACAACCTCATTGACTGATTTTCTCTTTCACTCTGTGCTTAACCTCAATATTACTCATCATTATATATATATATATATATATATATATATATATATATATACAGGAGTCCTAGTATACTACAGAAATGCATTTCTAACTGATATCAACTTGATATGAAAAATATGCCTTATTTTCAGAAAGATATGTATACTTTTCATCTAAGAAACACACCACCGAATTCCACATTAAATTATTGACTTTTATAAGGATTTGAATTAATTTCAGTGATTTCGTCAGGAATCAATATCATCAGTTAGAGATTAGCGAAAAACGGCAAGTAGTGAACAGCTGTTTTGTCCTAGTTTTCGACTATTTATCAGTGCGTAGCCCCAATGACAAATATACTAACTATTAACATATTATATAAAAAAGTATATTTGTAAAATCTCAGCGAGATTGAAATGAGTAATTCCAACGTTTCGTTCGGCAATACGGTCCGAACCTCTTCAGGGAAATTAATCGAAATTAACATAACGGAAGTTTATATGTAAAAATATATATATTAATAATACTTGGTCAAAATTCCCGACTGTCTACATCTCCTTATGGAAGCGTTAAGAAATGTTTTACAACTGTTTACCCCCCCCACACACACACACTGTTCAAAGTATTTAACAAAGGTAGATCAATATTTGTAAGTGCGAGGTCAAATTTTGATTACAAACCATACAATTTTGTTTATTATACTTGTTGACTCATGATTGTTCAAAGTTTTTATTTTTTTTACTGCAGCTTGATTCCACACCGTATTTTTTGGTATAGGCATGGAATTTTCAGTATGTGATATCGGTAGCCGAAATTCTGCAGACCGACCGTAGATATCAGGTGTGCGTCGGTAGAGACTCGAACCCTAGGCCATGTGCATGGTCGGTGAGAGTCCTAACCACTGTGCCACCGACGCAATGCAAGAGATGTTCCTTTTATATATAAACCTCTGTTATGTTAATTTCGATTAATTTCCCTGAAGAAGTTCGGACCGTATTGCCGAACGAAACGTTGGAATTACTCATTTCAATATCGCCGAGATTTTACAAATATAATATTTTTTACAGATGTCTACTTCTCACTCGGCACCCAAATATTTTAGAACTATTCTGTCAAATCTTGACGACAGTTCATTTGAATTGCTAACTAATACTTGAAAGAATAATTACTTAATGAAGTACAAAGGAAAGTAAACTCAACGCATCAAAATCGACTTACGAAGCCATCCACGATGAGGTACTTCAGCAGGGCAATTAGTTTGTCGATTGATAGCATCTAACAATTCTTCGGAGCTAACAAGTTTCGATGAACGAACTTCAGTTAATAGTTCAGTAAGTGACATTAATTCGAATCGAACACACCGACTCATCATATGATGATTGCGAAGTTCTTCTGAAGTAACCGCCATTTGGGATTCTCGATCACTGTCGATATCTTTAGTGAAAAACAGGGAAGACAAAAACAAACATTATAAATATGAATACCATATGAGAAAATTCCCAAGGAAACTAATGCTTTCCTTTTTAATATATCTTACAGTATGGAGTAGAATTTATATCCTAACGTTTGTAAGGCTTTTAAAACAAATTAATTGTCGAATTGTGCATTGCACAACACATACTCCTATTTCCATGCCTTATTGTACGCATAATCTGAGAGCACATTTTTTTCCTTCACTTTCCCCAGTGGAACATAGGACCTCAAGCTAGTGGCTTGAAGTTTCTGTAGCAGTGTTTATTTTTAATTTTACAGGATGGGGTTGCTAGCCTCTCCCAACCTTTCCTCTTTACCAGCATTATTTCTGGCTTAGCGAGGTAAAGAAGTGCGTCGGCCGGGGATCGAACCTCGGACCATGTGCATGATCGGCAAACGTCCTAACCGCTGCGCCACCGACGCACAAATGCTTGTCACCGCCTCGAGGGTGGAGACGAGGTGAGTTGGAGTACCTGGGCAACGATCCCAGTACCTCTCGCATGCCAAGCCAGCGATTTATTTTACTTCATATAACAAGGTTTGTTTCAACACTGAAAACGATTATCGGACCCTATTACATTTACATTTGCTGTCCGTCTGAACGGATCAGTAAGAAGGAGAAAAGACTGCACTACTCGCCGATGCCTTTTCGTAATCTCCGCCTACGCCCCCACTGACTGCAGTTCGGATGAAACGAAGGATGAGTTCTACCAAAAGCTGTCTAGTTAACTGCGAAAGGCTAAACGCTCAGATATAGTCGTTCTAGCTGGTGACTTTAACGCTCAAGTAGGGAAATTGTGTCAATCTGAGAAGGATGTCGGTGGCACCTATGGAGTTCCGTGCCAGCGAACCGACAACGGTGACCGTCTCCTACAGTTCTGTTCAGATAATCATTTGTTTCTTGTAAGCACTAACTTTAAACACAAGGAGAGACACTGTTTAACCTGGCGACCCCCATCATCAAACCAACGCTGGACACAAATAGACCACATAGCAATAAGCTATCGTTGGCGTGGGTCGGTAGGAGATTGTCGCTCCTTCTGGAACACGTGTGTAGATACCGATCACGCACTGGTCCGGGCTCGTGTGTGCTTACGACTGAACGGACGTAGGAAACAGCTGGCGGTAAAACCATCACGTCCCCAGCTCGATCAGGAAACTAAATCCCTATTTGAGGAAGAACTAGCTAAACGCATATCTGAATTCGACAGCTGTGCTCACCCTGGAGAAGCCTGGAAGAATATTCAGTCAGCTATAGATACAGCTGTAAAAGCTGTGAATAAGGCAAATCCAAAGGTGAGTAAAAACCACTGGATTTCGACTGCCTCATCCGAACTGATAGATGCTAGAAGACTTATTCCGGCGAGCTCCGAATTCAATGAGGAGCGAAAGCTGCACAAAAGGAAACTTACTAAAAGTCTCCGCAAGGACCGTGAACAGTGGTGGGTGACAAAGGCGAAAGAGATGGAAAAAGCATTGGCGATAGGCAACACTAGGCAACTCTTTAGACTCATCACAGAATCGGGCGGGAGAAGGCAATTCATAAGTGAGACTATTTCTGAGAAAAATGGCTCCTTAATTAGCTCTCAGGATAGACGCCTTGAACGCTGGAAAGAACACTTTGAGGAACAATTTAACTTGCCTACAGCCACACTGAACCTCCCCGCCATCCACCACGTACCCGAATGGGATATAGACACTGGTCCGCCGTCTGTAGGTGAGGTTACAAAAGCTATCAGTAATTTGAAACGAGGCAAAGCGGCAGGACCCGACGGAATTATTCCGGAGGTGTTTAAATATGGGGGTGACATACTAGTTTGTAGATTAACTGAGGTACTAGGCAAAGTCTGGGAATCAGAGACAGTACCATCAGACTGGGGTAAGTCACTCATTATACCGATATTCAAGAAGGGAAACAAGTCCTCGTGTGATAATCATAGGGGGATCAGCCTAACGAACATAGTCTCTAAAATCCTAGGCTCAGTAATCATGCATAGACTAAGCAGAACTCGGGAGGAACAGACAAGGGAAAATCAAGCAGGCTTTAGACCAGGTAGAGGGTGCATAGATCATATCTTCACTCTTCGACAGATTCTAGAACATAGACACACTTTTCGGCGTCCAACAATTGTCATATTTCTTGACTTGAAGGCGGCCTTCGACTCCGTGGACCGAAAAGTACTATGGCAATGTCTGACTGTGAAGGGAGTGCCAAGAAAGTACATTGCACTAATCAAGGCACTCTATTCAAACTCACGTAGTCGTGTAAGGGCTTATGGGGAATTGTCATCTGAATTGGTAACAACCAGTGGTGTCCGACAGGGATGTCCACTTTCCCCATTTCTGTTTAACTTCATCATAGATATGCTAATGGAAGTATCCTTAACTGAACGTAGTGACTTAGGAATCGACTTGTTACCAGGGAATAATCTAATGGACTTAGAATATGCAGATGACATAGTCCTGTTAGGGGAGGATGCTGACAAAATGCAGAGTCTTCTGAACACCTTGAGCAGCAATCTTCGTATGTTTGGCATGCGATTCGCCCCTGCAAAATGTAAGATGCTGCTACAGGACTGGACTACGTCAACTCCTAACTTAGTGATAGGGAGTGAAGTGATAGAACATGTTGACCACTTCACCTACTTGGGAAGTTGTATTAGCACCAACGGACTGATTGGCGATGAAATCTCAGCACGGATCCGAAAAGCTCGAGCTGCTTTCGCTGACTTACACCATCTCTGGCGTAGGCGTGACATCCGGTTATCAACCAAGGGACGTGTGTACTGCTCATCAGTTCGCTCCGTCCTTCTCTATGGCTCTGAAACATGGCCAATACGCGTTGAAGACATGAAAAGGTTGACTGCTTTCGATCATAGATGTCTGCGATCTCTGTCTCACGTTAGGTGGTTTCACAAGATAAGTAATGTTGACGTTAGGCGTAGAGTGTTGGGCAAAGAGGGAAAATCAATCGACGAGGTTATAAAGTTACATAGACTAAGATGGCTAGGTCACGTGGTGCGCATGCCTAACCACCGCCTCCCCCGACGGGCATTACTAGCTGATATAGGTTCAGGTTGGAAAAGAGCCAGTGGTGGCCAAACAAAAACATGGCATCAATCCATGAAATCCTTGACAGTTAAACTGAGTCAGGTAGGGAGATGCAGACTCCCGGGTTGGGGCCCTCGGGACTCTAGGAATCAATGGCTGGAGACAATAGGTGACATGGCTCAAAATCGTTGTCAATGGCGCAGATGTATTCAATCTCTGTAATCTTTCATATTCCTTTCTACCATTACCCATTCTGTTTCACTCCTATATTTGTCAAACTCTATTAATTCTCTCCACTCATCTTCTTGTCTACCTCTGTGTGCTATTTGGAACGTGGCAACTCGAACTGCTGCACTTCGGTGCCAAGTTCTATGTTGAATCCAGACAGAGACAGACTGTGAAGGGAGTGCCAAGAAAGTACATCGCACTAATCAAGGCACTCTATTCAAACTCACGTAGTCGTGTAAGGGCTTATGGGGAATTGTCATCTGAATTGGTAACAACCAGTGGTGTCCGACAGGGATGTCCACTTTCCCCATTCCTGTTTAACTTCACCATAGATATGCTAATGGAAGTATCCTTAACTGAACGTAACGACTTAGGAATCGACTTGTTACCAGGGAATAGTCTTATGGACTTAGAATATGCAGATGAAATAGTCCTGTTAGGGGAGGATGCTGACAAAATCCAGCAGAGTCTTCTGAAAACCTTGAGCAGCAATCTTCGTATGTTTGGCATCCGCTACACGCCCCTGCAAAATGTAAGATGCTGCTACAGGACTGGACTACGTCAACTCCTAACTTAGTGATAGGGAGTGAAGTGATAGAACATGTTGACCACTTCACCTATTTGGGAAGTTGTATTAGCACCAACGTACTGGTTGGCGATGAAATCTCAGCACGGATCCGAAAAGCTCGAGCTGCTTTCACTGACTTACACCATCTCTGGCGTAGGCGTGACATCCAGCTGTCAACCAAGGGACGTGGGTACTGCTCATCAGTTCGCTCCGTCCTTCTCTATGGCTCTGAAACATGGCCAATACGCGTTGAAGACATGAAAAGGTCGACTGCTTTCGATCATAGATATCTGCGATCCCTGTCTCACGTTAGGTGGTTTAATAAGGTAAGTAATGTTGACGTTAGGCGTAGAGTGTTGGGCAAAGAGGGAAAATCAATCGACGAGGTTATAAAGTTACATAGATTGAGATGGCTAGGTCACGTGGTGCGCATGCCTAACCACCGCCTCCCCCAACGGGCATTACTAGCTGATATAGGTGCAGGTTGGAAAAGAGCCAGTGGTGGCCAAACGAAAACATGGCATCAATCCATGAAATCCTTGACAGTTAAACTGAGTCAGGTAGGGAGATGCAGACTCCCGGGTTGGGGGCCTCGGGACCCTAGGAATCAATGGCTGGAGACAATAGGTGACATGGCTCAAAATCGTTGTCAATGGCCAGCGCAGATGTATTCAATCTCTGTAATCTTTCATATTCCTTTCTACCATTACCCATTCTGTTTCACTCTTATACTTGTCAAACTCTATTGATTCTCTTCACTCATCTTCTTGTCTACCTCTGTGTGCTATTTGGAAGGTGGCAACTCGAACTGCTGCACTTCGGTGCCAAGTTCTATGTTGAATCCAGACAGACAGACATTACATTTACAAATCATTTGTAATATGAAAGTGAAGTTTTAAAGCTTACTGCTTTTCCTATTAATGTCAGTAAAAACTTTGAGCATTGTAGAATAGATCAAATAAAGTATAATTATATTTCGATAGTTTATACACAATGATAAGTTTTGTTATTGGTAATATTTCGAGCAAAATTACTTCCCGTGTTCATACCACTGTTGGAATTGTTTTGAAATTATACTTTATTTGCTTTTCCTATATTACTTCTTTACCCCACTACATTTCTTTTTATTTAATCCTGATTTTGTTGTGAAGACCACCCGAGAAGAACTAGTCCAAATTCCACCATAAACCAGCTTCTGCGTTCCACATTAAACTAGCATTATTTTATATACTAACCTTTCTTGGTTTAGATTTCCAAAAGGATAAGCACTGCATTACAACTTCAGATAAATTTTTTTTCGAACAAAGCAAGAAGTACAGTTTTAAGAGAATAAAATGGTACCATCTTTTATTTCGCTGCCTTCTCGTCAGCTGCTTACATGGCAAAGACATTATTAAATATATCTACAACAACAATTTTAACATACTTGCACAGAGTTCATTTTAAACAAAAATCAGTCGATCAATATACGCATGCACTAAAAATATATACATATATAAATATGCAATATTAAGCACTATTCCGAACAATAATACACAATGTAAGCAGATGACGAGAAGACAACGAAATAAAATAATAATAATAATAACAGCTTTATTCCAAACAGTATTTGTGGTACAGGTATGGAATTTTCAGCGTGCATTACAGTATATTGCATCTAATTACCTCATAAATTATATAAGATTTTTAAAAATCAAAAATAAATAAGTTATAAATAAATAAAATAAATAAATATTAAAAATTAAGAAAAAAAAAACAACGTAGAGTATTTCATTTCAAACAATGCACCACAGGATTTGAAATATAAAGTTGATGTGTGGTTGTAGATGAGAACAACAGTGTAGTAGTAACGAGGAAAGGAAAACAAAAACTAATGGGACTATTTGTTAGAGTGCCGCAGTAAGTTGATCGTGTCATACCTAACGGATTTCTCATCACATAACAGCTGTGCCAGATATGGTATTGTGGAGTTTTTGTATTTGGTAGTCCTAGCATATAGCCTCCTATAGTTGCTTCTAGTTCTTCCAGATGAAATGGAAGGAGATAGATGCGTATAGAGAGGATGCTCGGGGTCCGACAATATTGTATTCGCTAGTTTCTTACATGACATTATATGTCTATCTACAATAGTGTTCACCAGTTGGTCTAACGATATCCCACTTGCCCTACTAACAGCTTTTAGTGCCCTTCTCAGCGAAGCAAAGTCTTTCTTAAGTAGTCCAGGAAAGACTAATGGGGAGCAGTAAAGGAGGATGGGTAGAATACAAGAATTTACAAACTGAGAAAGTAAAGACTGCTTTATACCAGACTGCCTAAATTTCCTAATGTAGAACGTTAAGCGAAACATCTTTCTGGTAACTAGCAAGATGTGGGAAGACCAGGAAAGATCGGTGGAAAAACTCAGCCCAAGGAACTTCACATTAGATGTATTTTCAACCTCTGTGCCGTCAATGAGAGTGGGGTCATGTGAGCTAACTAGTTGCTTTAGGTCACATTTACGTCTGAAAGTGAAATTGACTACCTGACATTTAGACGGATTAAGCTTAAGTCCGTTTGAAGAGGACCACTGACTAATTTCCGACAGAAAGCTATTTAATTTGGAACAATCTGACTGACAGTTGACAGGCATAGAGACCGAGAGGTCATCGGCATACTTAACAAAAGTGGCTACATCAGAATGAGGCAAGTCATGTAAGAAAAACGAAAACAGAAAGGGAGAGAGAACAGCGCCTTGATGGTACCATTTTATTCTGCTAAAACTGTAGTTCTTGCTTTGTTCAAATTCATTAAGTATGAAATTTTTTTTCCTTACTCTACTTGAGAGAGTTATGCAGTTAGTAATGGGAGCTTACAGACTAATGAAAATCTGAAACAATAAACAATAGTAGAAAATTAAGTCTATTATGTGTTAAAAGTCCAAACTCGATAACTATATACTCTGACATTAACAACGCGGGACATTTGAAGTTTAACGCACTGCATTCTGTTGCACAGGTAAAACATCAAGAGAACAAAAAGTAAAGAAAATAAGTGCGACGACACATGTAGATAAAAGTGTCGGAATACAAAATAGAAAAGAGAATAAAGTAAATAGGAAATGCATTACACTACGACTTTTTAAAAAAATGAAGACGAGGCGTCAATGTGTATGAATTTCCAAACATAAGTATTATTTTATACTTGAAGGCTGTGATGCCACATAAATGAATACGGTATACTTGGTTAACTAAATTCACTAACCCTGATGCTTTAGACCGACACTAGTTAAAAATCCACTAAAAGCCGAGGTAAATACAAGGGTTTTTCTCTCTAGCTTGAGACTCTTCAGTGGTTTGCACCTGTAATGCTGCAAGGGAGCGAAACAAGGACTGACACGCTGAGGTAAGCGTATAATTTCTGTCAATCCTTGAAACAGTAATACTACTAACTGTCATATCAGTATGTCATCACACGTCACATTCCACTGGTTACTTACTTCTCATAGAAACTTTAAGAGGTCAGTTTTAAAGCCAGTGGTCTAGTAAGTGTATCTTCCTTATTAATCAACTCTTCACAAATCTCACATCTAAATATTAATCTAGGGAAGACTTTAAGACTAAATTCGAAAATGAATTCCCAAAGTCCTGAACAGAAGCAACTGGTGTGACCTTTTAAGTTAAATGTGATAATGATTACCCATCAATAACACCGGATTTAACGAACTGCCAGAGATTTGCAGTCGCTAGTCACCGGAATATGATTCAGTAAGAGGTCAGTAACCTGATGGTTGGATTTCTCGCCAGCTCATATGCGTGCGCTACTGCAAAGTACTAACTCACAACAAAACAGCTATCAGGTACACCCCGTATTCACTGCTTTTATAGCTAATATAGCTCTTTCCCTCCACTTTGCACCGAAAGACATAATGAAAAGAAAAAATCGCTCGAAAACTAGATATGATTGCATATTACAGAGAGAAAACAAAACATGCTTAACATACCTCTATTCGATGATTTCTTCTCTCGATGTACTGATGAATTGAACAGTTCTGAGAATGACAAGTTGTTGCTTTCTGCTTTAACTTCACTTGATAACTCTTCTTGTCCCACTTCATTGTCAACATCTGACTGAGGATTATCTGACAAATGTGATCTATCAGCTGTTTCACTGTTAACTTTATTAAAATGCTTTAACCAAGCGCATACAGCACGAAATATCTCGATTTCTGAAGCACAAAAGCTATCACGAGATAGCAAACGTTCAACAGATGACTGAAACACGAAAAAAAATAATACTATTGATTGCATTTGATTGTAAGCTGATACAGTTAACCATATGAGATGATGGTCGAATATCAACAAATGAACTACATGTCTAAACATCATTTCACTTATAATAACTGATTAGTCAAATAGGGCTGTTATATGCTGATCGTGTTTGTCAGTCGGATACAAAAATCAAATGAGTGAGATGAGAACTATTAAAGTTACAGTTCCGGCGTGGCTATAGCTTAGTGAATTGAAGGGTATACGAATTACGACAAGACAGGAATACACTCGAAAAACCTGGAGAATATGAAAATCAATGTCAGAGAAAGAGCTTCGATTCATATTTTAACAGTTCCTTACAAACATAAACGTTGGTCATATTTGACCCTTAAATAAAGCACACTCGTGTATGTAGTCTCTGAGATACACGATTCACCTTCATTTTCCCTATCGTTATTACTAAACGATGAATAGTGCCCTTCATTCCCGATCATTTCATGAAGGAAATGTTCTGTCTCCAAAGGTACAATAACAGTACTGTTATACACACCAAAACTACATTTTTAAGAGTATAAAGAAAAATCCAAATTATTGACAATATACATCTCACAACAGAAGTATACATCCATACAAATTCCCAAGTATTATAAAATGTGGACTGCGTATAGTACAATAAATAGAAGTATTTTCTACAGTCATAAGTAACCATCAACCACCATCCCATCCCACCCTCAAATCAACGGCCTGGTACAACTGTGGGTGGTCTCCCTCTTAAAATACTCCCATGTGACCGAGCATTCATAGTATCTACCAGACAAATCCTATTAAACTATTTTCATGTGGCATGACTGTCACTCACAAAAGTGAAAAAGCAAATCCCAACGTCTGGTGCCTACAACCATACTGGTGGACATGTAAGTTTGCCTAGGGGAGCTGGAAAACTTGTTTTGGTTACTGCGAGCCATGGGAAGGCAGCTTCTGATGCTCCTCCACCGACTTGTGGGTCGAACTTCAGTTGGGAGAACGGCTACTTAAGACAACTACCTGTTTCGGTCTGGGCGTCCGGGCAGTACTCTAGTCCTCACACAAACCATAAGATCTTGTGTGGCGCATTTCTTAATGTTCACATACCATATTTGTGTTTTATTAATGATAATAAACGTTAAAATGGTGGTAGATGAATATAGTCTGAACTTAAGTAATTAATGTAGCAACTTTTTTACGTGGTAAGACATGACAACAAATACAAGTACATGGAAACGTACGCAATTGGAGTTAGTCTACTCTGCCTATTTCAGCCTCAACAAATGGGTACTAACATCAACCCTAATACAGTATATGCAGTTCATAGCCTGATACGTGAAAAGTCCTTCCTAGGGAATTAAGTCCCAACTAACTATATTAACACAGACATATATGTATACACAGAAAGAACAATTTAACGAAACTAACCTGTGATAATTTCAGGAAGCGTGGATCACGTAGAGGAGCAGGAGCGAGACAATCTAAGAATCTTAAACAGGCTGTAATAAGTCCTTCCAGGTTGTACATTACAGCCATGTCAAAAACACACCATACGTTCTTTAGACAGAGTGAATGTGTTAGGTATGTGGACAGTGCACTTTCTAGACTGTGAAAATTATACTGGTGAGCAAGGCCCAAGATTTCAAGAGTAAGCTAAAGACAGATACAAAATATAAGTATAGGAGAAGACATGAGGAAAACATGCAAAGAAAAAAAACGCACTGATGCCTTACGGGTTTGAAACAAACTCCGCTAGAGACTCCAAGGTATAAAATGTCATAAATTCTACCTCATTTGAAAAAGAAGAGCTTTTCATATTCTCGCTGTGCTCACTTGCAAGTTCACAACAGCAGCATCATGGGCCTAAACCCCAGCTAGACCAAATGTCTGGAAAGTTGATATAAATGCGATCGTCTCAGCAGCCAACTCAGTGAACTGGGACATCAACTCAGAGTCCCAAGAAGAAGCCGTATGGAACCAATTTAAACAACTTTACGCCCAAGTAACTGAACCTTTCATCCCTTGGTCTGTCACAAAGGGTCAGAAACATTGAGTCCCAAGGATAAAATAACAGATTTGTAAGTTACTCAGATGCAAACACATGTTAGAACCTGTTTCCTACACTTGTGACTCCTATTACCAGGAAATTATACAACACCGCTAGAAACAAAGCTATTGCAGAAATCCGCCAATCAAGGATGAAGTTCGAAGCTTAAAGTGCAACAACACGACCTAAGAAGATTTTCTCGTACATGAACTTGAGGAATAAATCATCCAATGTTGTCCCAAACCTGACTACTGACAATGACACAATCGAAGAAGATCAAGAAAAAGCACAAGCGACGGCAGACTACTTCTCCCAAGTCTTTACACAGGAGTCGTTACCCCCCCCCATAGGATCAGCTCTGGATATATAAGAGGAACATGGGATAGATTCCGTTGACGTCGACCAAGACATCATGCTCAACTGCCTAATGAAACAAGATGCAAGGAAATTAATGGGTCCTGATAATCTTCATACAGGGCTTCTCAATCATCTGTCAGCTCACATCGCGGGCCCATTTACCACGATCTTCAAGGTATCTCTCCTAAGTCGAGTGTTACTGCGTGACTGGAAAGACGCCATAGTAACCCCCATTCACAAAGGAGGACCAAAACAAAGCCCTTCAAATTATAGGCTTATTAGCCTTACCAGCACTTTAATCGAGGCACTGGAAAGAATCATCAAGAAAAGTGTAACGGGATATCTGGAAAATAACAATTTGTTATCCAGAGCAGAGCATGGCTCTTTATATATACACCTCTGGTGAGGTCAAGATTGGGAAACTGTATCCAGACAGCCATTCCTTGTCTTACAAGGGACTCATATTCTAGAAAGGGTTCAGAGGAAGGCAACACGCATGAGTCTCAACATGACTAATTTATCATACGAGGAAAGACGAGACAGTTTAAATCTCTTCCCCCTATAATACCGTAGGCAGAGAGATTTAATCACAATGTTTAGAATCTTATATAATGAATACGGACCTAATCTAATCTCACTTTCTCTTCCCACCAGTTCGGAACACCTTAGGGGACATAGCAGGAGAGTTCAAAAGCCAAGGAGAAAACATATTGCTGTATAGTACTGGTTCTCACGCCGAGTCATAAACTGCTGTAACCGACTCTCAGAAGAAGTGGTGTCTTCAACCTCGAATGATTCATTCAACAAGGGTTGGAACAAGCACAGAAATTTACTAGAAAAGAATTAACATAGGCTCCAAGCCTTCTATACTCAACCAATAAATCTGAAATCTTTACGTAAATTGTTCGTGTTTTATTCAAACTCAGTGGCGTTAAGAGTTCCTGATAGACATTACTAATTGTTACCACTTCCCTAAAGCTCTCACACAGACAGACAAGCATTGTCTTTTTATAATCTGAAACAGTTAACGATAGAGCAGATGGACAGCTAGAAAACTTCAGCCCAAATAATTTCTGAAGAATACACACAGAGTTGGACTTGATAATTTATGAACTTAAAGCGCATATGGTGACACAAAACTATTGTTATTCACTAGTCGCGAAAGCAAAACAACGAAATGAACATACCTTAGACTTCTTCAGCTTTATTTGACCAGTGTACATGTAACGCAAGATATTTTTGAAAGCAATTACATTAATGTCGTTCAGATGAACAACACTTGAGCTAGACTCTGCCATTCCTCCATAAAACAATGCTCTAAAATAATCGGAACGAGCTGCTAATATAGCTTTATGTGCAGGAAAGTGTGTATTTTGAACGACCAAATTAACATCACTGAAGAGTTCATTCCGATATAATTGAGCTATACAGGGTATAATTTCGGCAGAATGATTTATTTCGCACGCTTGAGTAACATCTTGAACCTCATTAGAGAATGCACCAAACCCTAACCCATGACAATGAGTAGCCGCCTGGTTAGACATAATACGAAGTTGACTCTCAGATACAACGCACGTTCCAAATACCCCTCTCTGCTCTCCAAATTCAAAATCAAATGTCTGATTGTCTACTAAGCTAATTTTAATTTTAATCCTTTTTAGATGAGTAGCTGTTTCTGTCAAGTTCCTCCGTGAATGAATCCACCATTTCTTTCAGGCACCAGTTTTTTTTGGAGATAGTTGGAAGAAGTGATCACATTCTGGGAGAACCTGTACCCAACAATCATACAGTTCCTTCTTGGCTTTGGAAGTTTACTGAAATATTTTGGTGTGACGGAAGTAAGAAAGCGAACGAGATCAAGTTCATGAGAACTTCTTTGTAATTTTGAGGATGTTTTCCCTTGGCATGTTGAGCCAGATCCACCTAGAAGTCCATCCATGAATGAGGCTGCTTTGTAACAGTTTAAATTTTATGTGCTCTGAGTAACTTCCTGATTTCCCAGGTCCCTAAAGTTAGAAAGGAGTTTGGGCTCTTATCACAAACAAAACTCAAATCCAACTTTATCATTTAGAATGGCGATTTTTTCGTCTCTTGTGATGATCTTCGTAAAGTTGGTAATGGCACACAGCAGCCCACAGGACCATCAGATGCAGCTGCAGTGTAATTGTTATTATTCCACCGTGGCTACCTATTCGGAACATTGGGGTTTGTATTACATCTCCAGACTACTCTGTTCTCTGTTGACACTTTCAGGTACCTCCAAGACTGCACATGAACATTTATTTCTCCTCATACGGTCCCCTTGTTATCACATAGAAACGCGAAGCCTGTCACTTTCCAAATGGCTTCCACTAGAAAGTATGAAATGAGGTATTAACCAGCCGTCTCCTGAGTATATGTTCACCTCACCCCAGTTCAGTTTCAAATATTTATCTGGTGGTAGGTTTTCGGTTCGCTCGGTGCTACCGTTCATTTCGCTTATCCCTTCCAACTAGTCATCTGACCTTCAACCCCAAGAATAGGCGTCAATTGATGAATCTTCGTGGCATGCTATCCCAGGTGTTTTGGCTACACTCATGACAAGTCCCTGAATCATATCGAAACATTCACTGACACTGGGGCCTTGTTCCTTGAGCTAAGTATAGTTGAAATGAGCTGGCAAGTTCAGGTAGGTTTAAGAGACTACTTCCCTGAATTTCTCTCGCTGATTATGATCGCTCCCTGTTGCTGTCAGTTGGCATCCTCATCACCCTTTCCTTCCGAATCGTAACCTGGAATCCTGTCTCACCAGTCTTTTCAGCCAACCTGTTGGTTTTCGTTGATATAGGTAAAGTATAATTCCATTGTGGGTTTACGCTTGTCAATCTACGACTCTATGTAAGATGAGGTGATCATTTAAGAAATCCACAACGTCAATGATCTCTTCAACATCTCAACGTACGAGCGTCTCTTTCACTATGCGCTTCACCAAAACCAGGAAGACCATCAGTCGTAGTAGCCGACTTTATCTTAATCCTGTTTTCACTCCAAAAGCTCATCTAAGACTGGTGTTATGAATTACCTGGCATGTGGTATCACGTAACTGTTAAATGAGATTTATAAAGGCTAGACACTACATAGTTTTGGACGAGTTTCCCAATTGTCCAAGCTGTCGACAAACTTTACAAAGTCAGTAAATTTCAGGTAGAGAGTTGGCTACCACCCTCCTCTGAATTCGACAGTGATCCATAGTACTGTAATTTGATCCGTTATCGATATGATTTTCCTGAACCCATGGAATCTTTTAGTCTCCTAAGCATGATACGAATCAATATTTTACTTGTAAAGGACGGACGCATGATGTCGTCCATTTTGGTCTACCGCTTTTCGGTCTACTGGCGGTACGTTGCTCTCCTTTAGAACCTATTGTAATGGAGTCATTGTATCCACTGAGGCCTCTGGGGCTGCTTTCAGTGCTCTTAGGAGATTCTCTCAGGTCCTGCTTCGCTTCTGGGCCTCGGAAACCTAATGGCCTTCAAAATATCAGATCTTCTTGAAGGGTTGGTATCCACTGGTGGTTTTGCACTTTCTGGTTACGGTATTTATGGACGAGTTTTATGCGTTGCTCACCTATGCAACCCGTTCATCTTCGGTTTCACCATTCTAATGTTCATGAACGCAGGCGCTCCAGATAAGGTTACCCACTGTTTTTGTATATTTTCTTGATGACTCATGTGAAAGTCCCTTTTTTCGCCTCATGTTTCAGCAACTGAAAGTCAAACTTGAACTGTGGTCTTTCAGCTTGACCTGGGAGGCTCTTTGCATAAGACATGCATTGAATCAGTGACTGCTCTCCTTCCTCAGTGATTTGTCGAGTTCGTTACTTCTGCACTTTCTAGATACTAACATGTGGTTGCCTAGTCTTTGTTATCTATTTTGCGAAAAAGATGTCGACCTGTATATCGTTGTGTTTGTGTACGCTGCTTTCTATCATGAAATCAGCGAAGGCGTAGAAGTCTGGAAGCAATTCTCATTAGGTCCACTGAACGCCTCTCGACCCATGGTGGGTCCTGCTAATGTGTTTTCTGCTCCCAATTTTTCTAATATTCATTTCACCTGCTGGAATTTCGATTCTGCTAGCAGGCTGAGGTTCCTTCTACAACCGTCTTCAGTTGTTTGTCTTCATCACTTTTTCTGCGTCTGTTTGTTAAAGTGTATCGCAATATGACCATAAATACACCCCCCTCCTGATGAGTCTTGCTTTCATGAATGATTTTGACTTCATGAGAGCCATCAGCGCTGTCGGTGACATTGTAATAGCCACACTCCCAATGAGCTTGTGGTTGTAGTCTGCGTGACTAAACCAAGTAATCGACTCACCTGCTAACAATACGGGAATGTTTTCCTTCGTTACATCTGCAATGGAAGATTCCCGACATTTCTGTATCAGATCTTCACATGTTTTGAAGTCTAAACGGTCCAGGCGATCTCAAACATTGTGTTTACGCACTATACCGCTATGTTCACTTTTATTTCTCCGAAAGAATATGAACCAGTCGGCTGGCTTCCTGAAGGCCTCCAACGGCCAATATTATTTTGGTTACTTGATTCTGGCGAGAAACAAGTTCATTCTTTTATTCGTTCTATGGTTTTTTGTCGCTGTTGCACTGATGCCACTGTTTACCGGAACGGGTAGGCAAACCCATAGGCAATCTTCCATCTTCTGTCAGCTTATCACCGGCTAACGAAGTAGATGAGATAACTTTTTTTGTGTCTCTTCTTCTCACAAATTTGCAGAGAATATGGCATTCATTTGCGACACTTTTGGCCGATTGGATATTTCAGCTAGTGATGCCCTGGTAGCAGCAACAAACTGGAGCAGATAACACCATCCAATATCCAATATCCTGATTACGAGCTAGTATAAACCAGTGATTTCTTTGAGCTCGCTTCTTGATTGTGAGGTAGAGGTTCCAGATCTTCGGTGAGCTTCTGCGTAGTAAGTCCCGCCACTCGACTGCTTTAGCTCTGGTAGACTCCAGAGGAGTGGTGTGGGGATTGGTCAAGATGTGGTTTGTAGTATGCAGTATGTTAGGACTGTATTGCTGCCGTGAATGGAGTTTGACCTAACTCCCGTTGGTCATTCGGTGTAGTCATAAAAGCAGAATAATAATAATAGGTTGTAGTGTAGATAATATGGGTTGAGATAAGTGGAATAATAAAGGTGACCTAAGGAAAAGATAGAGTGAGAGAAGGCAGAATAGGTCGTGGGGATTTAGTTTGTACGCTTATCCATTGACAGTGTGGTTTTAAGTTTTATGAGGATAAGCCATTGAGACACAAACCTTGCATTTCTGCATGATTGTCTAGCTTCCGCTTAAAAATCTCCAGAGATGGCGCTGTAGTCACGGCCGCCGGTAAAGCGTTCCAGAGACGGCAAACACGAAGCGAAAAGAAATGTGATCGCACTCGAGTCTTTGGTCTCTGGTGTGCTATCCTTAGCGGGTTACCTCGTGGAAGCCTATAATCACTTAATGGCAGGATGCTTTTATTTGGGTGGGCCTGGTCATTTAGGATCTGGTAGACGGTGATGAGGTCTCCCCTGTGCCTACGGTAACTAAGTGTGAAAAGACCTAATTTCTTTAGTCTTTCCTCATATGATTTGTTGCGGAGGCCGATCACCCATTTTGTCGCTCGTCTCTGGACACTTTCTAGAATGTTAGCATCCCTTTTGAGTAGCGGAGGTGCAATGATATTATGCACCTCAAGGTGTGGCCTCACATATGCCTTATATAACCTTAAGAACAGTTCGGGAGTGAGAGCTCCCAGCTGCCTGTGCATAAAGTGTAAGTTGCGTAGGCTTTGGCGACGTCCCTCGAGTAATTTCCACTGGTGTCTAGCTTTTCTGTTAGAATAAGACCTAGATCGCGCTCTGATGGAACACAACTCAAGTTCTGGCCACCAAGGGTGTAATTTACACTCTGTGACCTGCCGGAATGAAGTTGCACTACTTTGCACTTCTTTAGGCATTCCGTTAGCCAGAGCCCAGTTTCCCAGAGTTTGCAGGTCAGCCTGCAATCTATCTGAGTCTTCCGATGAGTTTATTGCTCTCCAAATCTTTACGTCGTCAGCGTAAAGAAGCGCAGAGCAGTTTAGTTGGGAGGGCAGGTCGTTGATAAAAATCAAAAACATCAACGGCCCTAGGATAGAACCCTGAGGAACCCCTGATGCCGAGGTGTGCCAGGATGATCGGATGCGGTTGACTTTGGTGCAGAATTCTCTCTCGCCTAAGTAATCTTTCAGCCATGCGAGAAGTGCTCCAGAAACACCCGCCTTGCTTATTTTGTGAAGGAGCAGACCATGGTGAACTGTGTCGAATGCTTTCGCAAAGTCGAGAAAGATCACGTGGGCTGGTACCTTTTTGTCCCAGGATAGTGTCCAATCGTTCCAAGGTAGTAGAAGATTCCCCTCCTGAAACCGTGCTGTGCTTCGTGAAGGTTAGTCCCATCGAAGTATTTTCTCATGTGGTCGTCAATGAGACTTTCCAATATCTTCGATATCACTGGAAGTAGAGCAACTGGTCTGTAACTGGTCGCATTCTGCCGGTCACCACCCTTGAAGATAGGGG